CAAAAGGGAGTAGAAAGGAAGTATGCCAAAAATCAGGGCAAACGGAGATGGTTAGGCGGTCCCGAACCGAGGCACACGGCCAACGATTCCGAAAAATCGGAAACCGGACTCCGAAATGGGCAAAATGGCCTACGGCCACAAAACGTAGCCCACGGCCACTGAGAGATGGTCTACTGGACCTCTCCCTTCCCTCAGGAAAAGAAACCGAGAAAACCGAGTCTGGTTCGCAAACCGAGGCAAGGCACAAAGAGGGTTCGGAAGTCCGGAGGCAGGGCTCGCAGCCGCGACTCTGAGACTTCTGAACAAGCACAACATGCAATATTACCAAGTGCTCAACTGGCGACGTCTGAGTCTTAAGGACGGTCAAAAATGGGGTGTCTACAGCTGGGGATTTTTCAGGGTCGGGGAAAACTCGATCCTCGTTAGGAGGCGGGGGCGAGGGCGGAGACGGTAATAGGTTCCCCGTCGGGGATCAGGGCTGGAGATGAGAGAATTTTCACCATCGGAGATGAATGACAGGGAGTGTGATCCTTAGTCCCGACCTAGCCTGTTGTCATCCCTAATAATGAGCCGAAACCATTGAGTTGTGAATGAGAATTGTCTCATAAAGGCCCCGTTTGGTGTAGCTGTTAAAACAGCTTATAGATTATAGCTTAACAGATTATAGATTATGACTTTAATCAGAAGTTGTTAATCTATTTGGTGTAGCTGTTGGATTATTGATTTAAGTTGCTGAGTAGTATTTGTTAAATAAGCTGTGAAATAGCTTTTTCAATTAATTTTTATTTTTTGTTTGTCTACATTTCTCATAAAATAATAATAATAATAATAATCTATAATCCATTTGGGTCTTTTTCTATTTTTAAAAAAATAAAAAATAAAAAAATTTAAGAGTATAACCATAAATTAACATGTCCACAGCAGAAACTGATAATCAGAAGCAAGGGGTGAACAGCTTCTCAAAATCAGCTTTTTTGAGTTAAAATAAGCTGTTAGAATCAGAAGCTGTTTGAAATTAGTTTAACCAAACAGTCCAAAATAACTTTTTCAAAGCTAAAAGTCATAAGTTAGCTCTGAAAAGCTGAAACAAACACCCCTAAAGTGGGTATCAATAAAGTTGCGTTTAGATTTGGACTTAGTCTTGATTTGGACTGGGCCTAGACTTGTACTTGTGCATGTATTGGGTTTGGTCTTAGACTTGGACTTGGACCTAGACCTAGTCTTGAGCTTTGGGCTAAGCTGTGCTGGGCTTAGTTTGTGCATGTGTTTGAAAATTGGTCTTGGATCGGATTGTAACCCAACATTAGTATCTATTTTATGATCCATCTAGTTGGTTTATTCAACCATCATTATATACATATTTATTTGTATATTTTAAACACATGGGAGGTTTAGACTTTTGTAACTCTCATCTTTTGATGATAGAGTTGATGACCATATCAATGGCCATAGGTTTTCAACCTTTGTAACTCTAGCCCTAATGCTTAGAGTTGATGGTCTTGGCTAATGACATTTGATGGTTCTATTGATGTATAGCCTTCATGGCTAGGTATTCCCCCACTTGTATAAATAGAGATTTTTCCCCTCCAACATAGTAGGATAATTTTTGTGAGATTTTTGATGGAAAATGGAGATGGTGTTTTGAGATAAAAAGTTGGAGATGTTTTTTTTCAACCAAAGAAAAATTTCCCTATCTTATTTTGCTAGCCCCTTCTTTGGTTCTTGTTAGAGAGAGCACAACCATTATCAAGTTCGCTGAAGCTATTCAGAAGGAGCTTCGGCATTTGCTGGTTTTGACCGTTATATCTTGGGAGGCTCGTATCTCCAGCACTCATCGAGAAGCGGTAAATCTGTTTTAAGGAAACTGTGGTATCACACAGGTTTCAGTTTGCTTATTTTCTTATTATTTGTTCTTTAATTTTTCAGAATTTAGTTTACTTCGACGGGTTCTAATATTTAGTTATCCATGTTAATAATTTGTTCTTTTAGTAATGTAATCTAATTGATTTCTATACTTGGTTGTGTCGTTTATTCTATATTTCATCATTTAATAAAAAAAATATTTTGTCATTTCTATTTAATTTATTTTATATATTTTTCTTGTATTATTATAGAAAAATGTTAACATGGCAAGGTTGGACAATGCTGCGACGTGGTGGCTGGTGGGATGGAGGAGGGCTGCGAAAGGTAAGAGGGCTGCGAAGTAGTGGCTATGGTAGGGTGTGCAATAGGAGAGATTATGTATTCAATGTGTATATATATATAGATAGACAGATTTAATTTAGAAGAAGGGAAGAAAAAGATGGTATAAAGGTCAATACATATATTCTGTTAACAGAAATTAGTGTACGTTTTGGTCCACAAATTACGTAGGAATTATGTGGTTATTTTCAAATGATGAAAGGAATAATACGAAAATTGCTATTAACGTTCTAATAATAAAACTCCTAATTACTAACTAATGAATAATAATTAACAAAACAAAATATATAATATTTTAAAAGGTAAATTACATTCATATCACTTGAGATTTGAAAAAAAAAAATAGAGTTATTCTCATACTTTAACATAATTATATTAATCTCCTTTTGTAGTATGATTAAAGTGACTGGAATTAATATCAATGAAGTAGACGCTAAAATAAATAAACATAAATATATACATTTTAGTAGAAAATAAATGATAACCTTACTTTTATATTTATATGATTAATGAATTAATGATGAGAAAAATCAAATGTGACGTGAATTAAAATTTTAGAAAGAAGAGTGTAATTATGTAAAAAATATAATTAACGAATTAATGATGTAAAATGATACAAATATTATGTAAATTAATTTTTTTTAAAAAGAATATAATTATATAAAAAATATGAGATTAACTTAATTTTTTTGTTTTTAAAATTTTAGGAGGGGTGAGTGTAATTTATCCTATTTGAAAATAGGGTTCATCTCAAGTTGTCATCTTAACTTGAAAGAGATTTTGGGCTTGGTAGGCCAATTTTTGGACCAATTTCGATTATTCGTTCCGTTCACTTTCTAGGACTCGTTGAGTAAAATATTCATGCAAAAAATAAGATGATTGAATATCGATAGTTATATGTTTGAATCATATTTGTTTTTAAAAAAATAAATGACAAATATAATTTTAAAAATAGTCGTTCACTTTTTGTAATACAAATTTGATTCAAATATATAGTTATCAATCTCTGATCATTTTATTTTTTGCATGAATATTATACTCAACGTGCTATAAAAAAATAATGGGACATTTACACATATATAATAATTTATGAACTTATACTTCATTAAATTCTAAGTAAGATTTTTTGGACTTTCAATCCCATTAAAATTTTAATAATCGGAATTGCATTTCAAATAATGATTGTTCATCATTTATGATTATTTATAAAGGAACATAATGATTTGACATTTATTTTGATTTTCAAAACTTTAAAAATCAACTTTCAAATTGAAAAAGCTAAAAAAAAATATGTGCAAAAAAAAAAACTAATTTTAAATAATTGAATTATTTTTTTTGTGCAAAACAGAAATTTTTGTGTATATAAAAGAGCATGATGATGGAACATTGATATGCAAAACTGAAAAAAAAAATTAAAAATGAAAAAAACTAATAATGTTCTCAGTTTTAAAACTAAAAAAAACTATTAATATTCTTAGTTTTATTAGATAGTTGAATCAAACCAATAAGTAGAAGGGTAAAAACGTTTAATCTCATATTCTGTTTTTTTATTAGTTAGTGAAACAATTATCTAGAACATTATTATATAAAATTGATAATATTCTTAATTTTAAAAATTAGAAAAAAATTGATAATATTCTTAGTTTTATTAAATATGATTTATTGGTTCAAAAAATATTAAATATAACCTAAGCTAACATAACATTTGTAAATAAAAATTTTAGGTAATTAACTAAAACGTAGCTCAAATAAGTCTCAAAATAAATCTACCAAACACAAAAATAAATCAATGATTTGAATTAGTCCTAAAATAAATCTACCAAACACAAATTCTCTCTCAAATAAAAATGGAGGTAATAGAAGCCTAATACTCAAAATAAGAGCGTCTCAACGTTTACATTTTTCTTTAATCAAATTTAAATTTACTAAAAGAAGTTTCAGTTTTGGTGTTTCAGCATTAACATCAGACCAATATCAAATTGGGAATTTTTTTTAAATTTTTCATCAAATTAAAGATATTTGGAGCCTTTCATCAAATTATTGTTGGGATTATAGACTGGACAATTGGTCAATTGTCCTCCTAGACAACCTCTTCCTTACTTCAAACTTCCAATAAATTTATACTACTCAATCAAGTGATCGAATATCCTCTTGATTGACCAGTAATTTGATAAAAATAAAGGTAGCGTTTGTTAGAGTTTTCTAAATGTGATTTAAGAATATGAGTTGTATTTGGAGTTTGTGAATTTTGAAATTATGATTTGATTGTGAAAAATTTATTTGGTGAATGAGTTTTGAATTGAGTGGGGAGTTTTTGATGTAATATATGATATTTGATACAAAAATTTACAACTCATAACTAAACACACAACTCAAAATTCTATCAAAGCTCATAATTTTTTTTTAAAATTCGAAAAATATTTTTTGTTGAATATATAAAAACTAACATGTGTCAATTGCAAAAAAAAAAAAATACACTATTTCGGTTAATCGGCCGAACGATAGGTGGGACGTCCGGTAAGTCCAAAATTTGTTGTCTTCGACCAAGTTTTCAAAAGTAACTGTGAAATTAATTTTTAAAAACTGCAAACAAGCACTACATGAGAACCAGTGCCTGAACCTAAAGTTCCAAAACCCTACCAAACATAACCAAAAATTTTCGGTTAAAACACTCAATATTAATTTTTATTCAAATTTAATAAAAAAATAAAAAGTAAACGTGGGAGATGTTCTCATACGTGAGAATACTGATTTTCGTAAACTTCTATTTCAAATTTCCCCACCATTGAGATCTACCTTTTCACACAACCCCCCACACTCTTCTTAAAACCCCCCCTCTCTCTCTCTCTCTCTTCTCTCTCCAAAGCCACCATTGCAATCTCTGAAGAAGCTCTCAACAATGCTTTCAACTGAAGTAGACTTCGATCTCAGAGTATCATCTCTCAGAACCCTAACAATGTGCTTCCAAATTCATCATTTCCTCCTAATTTTCTCTCTCTAACTCAATTTTTTTCTCTCTCTCTCTCTCTCTCTCTCTCTCTCTAATTTTCTGCAGTCATCAAGTCAGTCCAGTTTCGGAATCAGGTGAGCTTATCTTCGTCTTCCCCAATTCTAGGGTTTCCACTTCATTACATGTGAATTGCGCTGAATCTACAGTTCTTACTCTTTCACACAGCGAGTACACATTTGCCGATGTGGGAAACTTGGAGCATTGCGCCAAATACCTGAACCAGACGCTCGTTACCTTCGGATTTCCGGCGTCGCTTGATCTGTTTGCAAGTGATCCGGTATGCTCTCTTTGTTTTTCTTGATTTGTTATTTTGCTTATCTTTGGTTTTGGCTTTCATTTGGAATTTGTGTGTTTGCTAGGTTTCGATTGCGCGCACTTGCAATTGTGTATATGCACTGTTACAGCAGAGGCAACGTGATATTGAATTTAGGGAGTCAGCTAATGAGCAGAGACAACGGTATGTTTGTTTGATCTGACAATTTGTACTGTTTTGGTGAATTAAGTTTAATCCTACACTTTGTATGGTATATCACATTGTAGAATGTAGGCTCTATGCGGATCAGTAGGATTGTTGTGTGAAGTAGTTGCAAAGTCTCTTGGTGGTGTGTTAAAAGAGATGTGTGATCAAAGTCCCGTCTCTTCATCGAGATTTGGGGTTATGCATAGCAGGAGGAGGGCTACCCCCTAGCCCATCACCATGGGACAAAAGAAAAAAAAATAGTGTCCAAATTGGAAGTGTGGAAGATAAAGAAAGTTGGAGAGTTAATTTCTATCTTATTATGTAAGTGTGAAATACAATGTTTTAATGGCTTGTTTGGGGTGCACTTTGCTAAACATGTTTTTCTGTTTTCGGAAGTAAAAACTAGAAGCACTGATGTTGGAGAAATAAATGGCAAAAATTATACATCTCAGCACAAAAACAATACTAGATTTTAGAGAATGCAAAGGCAACAGACACATGCCAAAAATAAAAAAATAAAAAGAAAAAGAAAAAAACCGGTTTGTAAATTAATGGACATTATTATCTCTTTAGATATGGACCTTTTGTGTGTTTTAAATTGCAATTGATTGATGGGGTAACATTTACTTATATTCTTTTCATAGACTCCTGTCTGACATATCAAGATTAGAGGCCAAGGTGGAGAGGCTTGAAGCCCAGTTATCTGCGAAAGATAGGGAGATAGCAACAATTACTCGAACGGTTAGAGACATGATTTTGTTACTTTCTGTGAAGTGCAATTATTCTTTTTATGGCAGTGGTCATTCTGTATTGGCTTGATCCTCTTGTTTATTCTGTTTAAATGAATTATGGTTAGGAAGCTAAAGCTACAGCAGCATTTAAGGCCCAAATTGAGAAGTTACAGCAGGAACGAGATGAATTTCAAAGGATGGTTATTGGTAATCAGGTGAGAATCCTTTTATTTATATAGAAATGTTTGTTTTTGACACTTGCATGTTGGATGTACTGACCTGAACACTTCCTTAATGTTGCAAAAGCAAGTGAGAACTCAACAAATACATGAGATGAAGAAAAAAGAAAAGGAGTATATAAAGTTGCAGGTAGGGTCCTTGTCGCATCCTGGTTAACCTCGAAAGGAAATCTGCAAATTTTAAACTATGTAATATCACATGAATCATATATATTTAGAAAGGTAAATTAGATGGGAATTACAGAGTGATAGTGTTTTTCTTTCAGGAGAGGTTAAATCAAGTATTAATGGAGAAAAAGAAGGAATCTAGATCAGGCATGGAGATAATGAATTTACTTCAGGTAATTGATTAATTACTAATTTTGTGACCTGAAATATTTAAAATTCATTTCTCTAATGGTCTTTGTGTTCCATGTCAACAGAAAGAAGGACGACAACGTGGCACATGGAACGGGAAAAAGGCTGATAATGACTTCTATAAAAAGATTGTATGGAGCATGATTGACTTACTTCGATTTTTGTCACCACTTAGCTTATCTGTGATTAAATGGTATTGGCAGGTGGATGCTTATGAGGCAAAAAATCAAGAACTAGTGGCAGAGAATGCTGATTTGAGGGCATTATTACGTTCAATGCAGGTAGGTTAACTGTTCGAGCAAATTGATGATTGTTTATTATTGTTTGTGATTGCATTGCTATACTTATTTCTTAGTTGCACGAAGCGGGAGCGGGGAATTGTGATCCCTAAGAGAGTCGTAGGATGGGAGCGTTTATATATATTATATAAAAAATATATATAAATATATTGTGAGATATAATTTTTTTTCGCCAATTAATATTTGAAATATATTATAACTATCATAAATTCTTATAAATTGTATTTTATTTTGTGTTGTTAAATTTTCATAGAATTAAAATCTATTTATTTTGTAGATATATTTTTTGTATTTTATATTTTTGTATTTGAATTTGTGGAACAAACAGCCCAAAAGCCCATTTTATTTTATTTTATTTTTTTGTGATGGTTATACAAACCATCTAGTAACCCAAATACTAAATAAAACAGCCCACAAACCCAAACAAATGTTTGTCTGGGTCTAAAGCCTACTAGGGTTTAGCATACAAACCAAGTCTGTCAAACTCTATCTCTCTTCTCTTACAAATGCACAGCACAATTGAAAGATAGAGAGAAGGAGATTGAGACAGAGAGATCAAGAGAGGAGATCAAAATAGAGAACGAGATTGAGATAGCGATCGCGAGAGAAGAAGATCAAGAGACAGAGAGATTGAGAGCTCAAGATCGCATTTCTCTCACATTAGAAGCACGATTCTTCCTCAGAAGTGCATAATTGCGTTTTTTCCTCAGAAACGTGAGTCCCTTCCACGATTCCTGCTACTAAGACCTATTTTGTCACTAGTGGGCAGTGGTGAAGCTGAAAAATTAATCTTGGAGGCAAATATTAATCACAACTTTGAAAACGTATATATATATTTTTGTAATCTACATTTTTGTGAACATTTTATTCAAAGATACAATTATGGGGAAGGTGACAATATCAGTGGCATAAGCAATAGTTTGCGGGCTAACAAAGAGGAAGCATTTGCAGATTACTAGTTTTAAAAGCTTGAGCTATGTGAAATTATATGCAATGAATTCATTTTAGTGGGACAACTTAAGTAGGAATTAAGGTTCCAAATGACCATAACCTTTTGAGTTGTAATACTTGACTCCATTCCTGCACAATGTCATGCAATTGGCATGACACAAGATAAAGCAGTTTAGCATGGAATTGGCATTAGGCGTTCTTTTTCTTTTCTTTTCCTTTCCTTCCTTCTCCATTTTTATTTATAATAATTAATGAATTAACAAAATCTAAAGAAAATTGCTCATGAAACTCTATTTTTTCTTTGTGGAAAATGTGACAATGACAACCGATTCTAAGAATAGAATGAACTCCATTAGCTTAGACAATCACAACCCATTCTAACTATGGAGGAAACTTTTGGATGTGGAGATGCTAGGAAGGGAACTTTTGGTTTCATGCCATGAAAGAACTAAGTTGGATATTGAGGCCTCGTTTGGGAACATGCTAATTTAGTAATTTTTTGGCTAATTGGCTAAAAAGGTTGGTAAAAAAAACTTGTATGTTTGGGATGACTTTTTGACTAATTACGAAAAGCTGTGTAAAAAGTAGAGAGAAGCCGTAATTGTTGACTTTTTGGTATGACTAATTGGCTAATTGGCTAATTTAGTAACTTTTTAACTAATTGGCTAATTTAGTAACATCCCAAACGAGGCCTGAGGCGGCCTATGATAATGTTAGTTGGGATTTTTTGTTGGCTGTTATAGAGCGTATGGGTTTTGGGGATAGGTGGAGGCGATGGATTTTGTTTTGTATTTCGACGGTGCGGATGTCCGTATTGGTGAATGGGTCGCCGGCAAGTTACTTCCCAACGTTTTGGGGATTGTGGCAAGGGGATCCTTTGTCGCCTTTGTTGTTTATTCTTGTCATGGAGGTGCTGAGTCGGTTGTTGTTTCGGGCAAGGTAGGCTGGTTTGTTGGAAGGTTTTTTGGTGGCAGAAGGGGTTGGTGTCTCTCACCTCTTGTATGCTAATGATGTTTTGATTTTCTGTGGGGCTGATCCCAAGCAGTTGAGGTATTTGCGATGTGTCTTGTTATGCTTTGAGATGGTCTCAGGTTTGAAGGTTAACTTGGCAAAGGCAGAATTGATTCTAGTGGGGGAGGTTGTTCGACTTTTGTCTTTGGCGGCCATTTTGGGTTGCAAGGTTTCTCATTTGCCGGTGTCTTATTTGGGGTTGTCTTTGGGGGCTCCTTATAAGGCGCCATTTCCTTGAATCATCTTCCTCATCCTCTTGATGTTTCGAGGTAGATTTGAACGCTATTCCTTTCTTCTTATTGTTGTCCTCCTCTTCTTTTCCTTCTTGCATTATGAGCTCATGAGTTAAAAGAGATCCCATTAACTCATCTAGACTTAGCTTTGATAAATCCTTGGCTTCGGTAATAGCAATGACTTTTGTCTCCCAACTTTTTAGCAATGACCTAAGTACTTTTCTTACAATTTCAGCATTAGTATATATTTTGCCAAGAGAAATTAAACCATTAATAATATCAGTAAAGCGAGTAAACATTTGAGGAATAGTTTCGTCAGGTTTCATTTTAAAGAGTTCATAATTATGGACTAGCAAACTGACTCTAGATTCTTTAACTTGTTCGAGGGTTGTGGGATAGGGTGTTGGAAAGGGTTCAGCGTTGATCCCAAGCAGTTGAGGTATTTGCGATGTGTCTTGTTATGCTTTGAGATGGTCTCAGGTTTGAAGGTTAACTTGGCAAAGTTAGAATTGATTCTGGTGGGGGAGGTTGTTCGACTTTCGTCTTTGGCAGCCATTTTGGGTTGCAAGGTTTCTCATTTGCCGGTGTCTTATTTGGGGTTGCCTTTGGGGGCTCCTTGTAAGGCGTAGGGGTTGTGGGATAGGGTGTTAGAAAGGGTTCAGCGCTGGCTTGCAGGATGGAAGAGGCAGTATTTGTCTAAGGGGGGGAGGCTAACCTTGGGGAAGAGTATGCTGGGCAGTATTCCGACTTATTTTATGTCAATGCACGTTATTCCTGTGTCGGTGGCTCGTCGGTTAGAGAGGTTGCAACGGGATTTTTTGTAGGGTAGCGATGGTGGGGAGTTTCGGTATCATCTCGTTAATTGGGAGAAGGTTTGTTGTTCTAAGTAGGATGAAGGGTTAAGGGTGCGTAGGTTGTGTAAGTTTAATTTGGCTTTGTTAGGGAAGTGGCTATGGAGGTTTTCTAAGGAATGGGATCACCTGTGGCGGAGGGTGGTGGCGTCCAAGTATGGGTTAGGGAGGGGAGAGTGGTGTACTAGGGTGGTGGGGGGTTCTCATGGGTGTGGGTTGTGGAAGGGGATTTGGTTGGGTAGGGATCAATTTTGGGAGAGAGTCCAGTTTCGGGTGGGCAATGGAGTTCGGGTGCGATTTTGGAAGGATAACTGATGTGGGGAGGTTACCCTACCAGAGTGTTTTCTTTTGATCTTCACGTTGGTGGTGGACCTTGATGTGTTGGTGGCTTTTTATTTGGCTGGAGGTGGGGAGGGGTTGGTTTGGGATATTGTTCTTCGCCACCAAACTCAGGATTGGGATGTAGGCAGTTGGTGGAGTTGTTGACCTTTTTGTATGGGGTCAAGGTTGGGCGGGAGGAGGAGGACGATTTGGTTTGGGGAGTTCTAGTAGTGGCTAAAGGTGTTTTTTTAGTCTCGTCTTTTTATTTGTCCTTGTGTGATGGTGGTGGAGGGGGAGTTTTCCCTTGGTGTGGTGTGTGCGTTTCTGGTGTTCCATCTAAGGTGGCTTTCTTTGTGTGGACAACAGTTTTTGGTAGGATCTTGACTATTGATAATCTGATCCGTCGCCATCATATTTTGGTTAATTGGTGTTGTATGTGTTGTGCGGATGCGGAAATAGTGGGCCATTTGTTGCTCCATTGCCCATTTGCTTCTCGTTTGTGGGTGATTGTTTTCTCTCTGTTTGGTGTGGTTTGGGTTTAGCCGAGGTAGGTCATGGATGTGTTGTGCTGTTGGGGAGGTGGTCGAGTTGGGAAGCGGCGGCAGAAGGCTTGGGCAATAGCGCCTTTGTGTTTGATGTGGTCGGTTTGGCTGGAGTAGAGTTGTCGGGTTTTTCAAGGTAGTGCTCAATCCGTTGTACGTTTAGAGGGTTGGTTTTTGAGAGTTTTGTACAGTTGGGTTTCAGGAAGGGTGAATCCAGATTTATTTGCTTTGTTAGACTTTGTTGATGATATAGTTGGTTAGGCCCCCGTTTGGCGGGGTTGTATTCTTTTGGCATCTTCTTGATGCTGTGGTAATAAAATTTCATTTATCAAAATAAAATAAAAAATATATATATAGATATTAAAATCAATGGAAAAAAAACAAAAACAAAAACAAAAACAAAAATGCACTACACACACGACTCGCAGTCTAATAACAGTTGGGTTTCAGGAAGGGTGAATCCAGATATATTTGCTTTCTTAGACTTTGTTGATGATATAGTTGGTTAGGCCCCCGTTTGGCGGGGTTGTATTCTTTTGGCATTCTTCTTGATGCTGTGGTAATAAAATTTCATTTATCAAAATAAAATAAAAAATATATATATAGATATTAAAATCAATGGAAAAAAAACAAAAACAAAAACAAAAACAAAAATGCACTACACACACGACTCGCAGTCTAATATAACAAGAACAATAACAAGCTTAGATCAAAATCATTGTAAAAAAACAAAAACACACTTCACACACTTACTGTTTGTTTTCTGCTTTCCATAACGTTTGTAGACTCGTAATCTGGTATAACAAGCTTATACTCAGACGACTCCAAGTTTCTTGGAAATTTTCTTATTCTTTTGATTAATGGTTTTATATTGCAATTTTGACGTCTGCATGCACCATTTTCAACAAGAAATGAATTATGAAGTTTCTCGCAATCAATTCTGCTAGGGGTGGGTGGCGAACTTTCTTTTTGTTGGTTAAATTACAAATACACTTTGTTTAAAATACGGATTGTCCTTTGTGGTTTTAGAAATTGCAAATGCATTTCTGTTAGAAATTTTTTTTTTAATAGAA